ATTAGTCAACAGAGCCAAATATCAACAGTACAATGATTGAAATTTCTTTTGAGAGCCAAATTTTTTAAACTTAAACAATATAGGTAGGTACATTGTTATTAACTTAATTAGGGTACTCCTACGGCTTAGGAAGAGCCACAGTTAAGGGGCCAAAGAGCCGCATATGGCTCACGAGCCGCAGTTTGCCGACAATGGGCTTAGGTCAATACTGGAAAAGAATGACAAAAGGTTGTCTTCTGATAAGTGAGAAACTATAAGTGAGAAATGAATAAATAATACACATTTCAGGTAGTGCTTCATATTATGAAAAAGACTAAGTCCTAAGAAGCAAGTGATGAACGATGGTATTGGGGATGGAGAGGTCTACTTCAGGTGGGCCGCTTAGGCAAGGCCTCTCTGAAGGTAACAGTGGACCAGAGACCTGAGTGAAGTGACAGAGTAAGTCATAAAAGACCTGGGAGATGGCAGAGGGAGCAGTAGGTATAAGTACAGAGGCTGTACTAAGCTTGTTCTTAAGCAAAAGAACAAGAGGGAGGGCAGTGGGGAAATGGACGGAGGTCATCAGACATAGGAGGGGCCGATCACATAGGCTTCTCTAAGCACTTGGATTTATCCTAGGTGAGTTCAGAAGCCATTGGAGGGTTTTGTTGAGAGCAGTGGTAATCAAGCACAGCAATAAAAAGCTCTCTCAGGCTGCCGAATGGAGAATATAACCTTATGTGGAGAGTAAACTCCTGTATGGTTAAGCATGGACAGTGAGGAGATAAACTAGGTATTGTCATAGGCAGGTGAGAGATAATGATGCTCAAAGTTGGGCTGTTAGACCAAGTGATGAATGCAGTTTGCATGAAATGAAGAGAAAGAAACAGTGGCTTTTGCAGTATGTCCCCTCCTCTCTCCCCTCTCCCCCCTGACCCCCAAGCAATGGGATAAACAGTAATTTCATTCACTGAGATGGGAAAGACTGAGGAAGATGTTTTAAAAATGTGTGACCAATTAGACATCTAAGTGGACTTAGTAAATAGGAAGTTAGATACATAAGTCATATCCTCTGGGGAAAGATTGTTATTAGTTATCAGCAGGATTCGCCAGCTCATGGATGAATTCCATGTGGCCAAATAAGATCTCTCTTGGTAGTGATACCCAAGGTGGCGTTCCCACAATCCCCTGGAAGCGCACAAATCCATTAGGGTCCAGAAAGAAAATATCAGAGCCTAGTTTTATATTTATTCTTACACTTAATTAATATGCTGTGATTCGATACTGATGTCCTCACCTGCCCCCTATCAGTCATTTATGTATCACCCTGCACTCGGGGTGTCCGGGGGTAACTGTGAGGATTATATAACAAAGAGACGTGATGGACAAAGCTTTGTTTTTGTTTTCGTTTTGCTTTCAACATAATATGGCACCTTGTAGTTTACTGATATCTGCACACATAAACATATAGGAATAGGTTACCTAATTTTAAAATAGCTTTTTACTATGAACATTTTCTTTTGGGATAATTTTAGATATACAGAGAATTTACACAGTTTCCATACACTCTTCACCCATACATGATTTTAGTACCTTTATCAAAACTAAGAAACCCACCTTGGTACATTGCTATTAAATTTAATCAAGAGAAAAAAATGATCATCTACTTCAATCCAGCAAGAAGTCAAACTAAAAAAAATCAAAGCAAGCAAAAAAACCCAAACAACTATGTAAATATTATTTTATATGCATTAGGTTTTACAATTAATTTTGCCCTGAATGGATATGAAACCTTAAGATATTGGTTACTGATGGTATAAGGCTATTAAAATTAGCAAGGCATTTAAATAATTTAAAATTAGTGCCATTGGCTTAATCCTTGAACAGAAAGCAGGAAAGAAACTGGTCAGTGGTCAACTTCTAAACCACAGAACCAGCAGTGAACCGCTGATACTTTCCCGAAGAGATGGATCCCCGCCCAAAGCAGGTGAAAGGTACCCAAAGTTAACACCAGAAGGCACCAGGAGGACCAATGGCATGTGACTTGGTGCAATTGTATTTGATGCTTTTCTTTTATCGGTAGTTTCTTTTACATTTCTCATAGGAAAGGAGAGGGAGAGAGAGATTAGAAACATCAGTGATGGGAGAGAATCATTGATCGGCTGCTTCCTGCACTTCCCACAGTGGGGATGGAGCCTGTGCCCTGACCAGGAATCAAACCGTAACCTCCTGGTTCATGGATCGATCCTCAATCACTGAGCCACGCCAGCCGGGCAATTTCATGCCTTTTCTAAAACAATTATTCTCTCTAGAAATGGTAAGAATGGCAGCATCTGTTTTCCAGACCAAACACAATCCAAAGCTGCCATCAGGTGAAATTGGCCTAACCTTGTATCACCAAGAAAGAGCAAGTATTCTGATTTCATCCTCTGAAGGTATATGTGTCACACATAAAAACTCTACAATGGAGACAACATTCTCTGGTCTCTCTGATTTGCTGTATTCCAGACGAGTGCCTCTGGCCTTTTGAGCATCACAAGGAAATCAGTGGGGAGGGAATCATGTGCTAACCAAGTACTTAAAGGGCAGAAAAACTCACTGACGTGAAAGAGGATTAGTAAAGGGTGCAGAAGGGCACCAGCCCCTCCCAGTTTGGGTGAGCAGATTTGTGATTAGTTATCAGGCAGAAACCCACAAGCAATTAACAGCTCTGACATCAAGGGACGACGGGCAAATATAAAACCCTCAGCTCTCAGAGGGGTTTGGCGGCAAATCCCCTCAGGAGTTGGAGGTATGGAGAGAAGCTCCATGGGAAGTGGGTGGACTCCAGGAAAGCCTCCATTAGGTGGGGTGGTGGTGGTGGTGGGGGGGGGACGGATTTTAAAGGATAAAAATTAACTTGCTGGAAACCTGCTCCCAATTCTTCTTGCAGCCCCATGGTTAGATGTAGTTAGTGGTGGCGGCCTGCTAATGGCTGCTTTTGATAAATGGCATCCAGGATAAGTATTTTTATAAATAGAAATTAAGACGGAAGAAAACTAAATGACTAGGATTGGGGGTGTAATTATGTAGGTATTATACATGTCAAACTTTTAAAGGTAAATAACTGTTTTTCTGACTTGGATTGTCATGTGACAGATCTGAAAAGCGTTTTGAAGGTGGTTGGAAAGGGCTCATGCCACTGATCACATGCCAAAACAACAACAAAAAGCCTTGCATAATTCCATTGTGCTTTCTCCTTTTCAGCTTGATTTTTCTCTATGTGTGTCCGTCTCTGCACAAAGGGCCGCAGAACCAGAGCCTTGCTTCCAGCAGAATGGAAGTTCATAAACTCCTCTCTCTAGGATACGTCTTCCTGCCCCTGCTGTTCACTCAGCAGGCGGGGGCTCAGTTTCCCAGGGAGTGTGCCACCACTGAGGCTTTGAGGAATGGTGTGTGCTGCCCAGACCTGGCCCCCGTGTCCGGGCCTGGGACTGACCCCTGCGGCTCCTCATCAGGGAGGGGCAGGTGTGAGGCAGTGACTGCAGACTCCCGACCCCACGGCCCCCAGTACCCGCATGATGGCCAAGACGACCGGGAGGGCTGGCCCACACGCTTCTTCAACAGGACGTGTCACTGCAATGGCAACTTCTCGGGACACAACTGTGGGACTTGCCGTCCTGGGTGGAGAGGAACCGCCTGTGACCAGAGGGTGCTCACAGGTAAGTGGGGGAGTGGACGATAGCCAGTCCCGCATGAGACCCAAATCATGTGAGCTGGAAGAACCTCTGGAAAAATCATACAGCTCAGTCCTCTCTCCACGGTTGAGGAAAGAGGCTTACAAAGATTAAGAAATGTATGTAATTTAAAGGAATGGGCTTGGAGCTCAGGTCATCTGATTAATATTTTCTTCCAAAACATATGTTGAGCCACCACTGTATGCTGGGAACTGTGCTAGAGGTTTAGGACTATTATTTCAGTAACAGCTCAAGGTACTTACGTTAAGCAGCAGAGGTGTGGTCCCAAAAGGACAAATCCACACAGCTGCTACTAGGAAAACCTGGAATTCAGGCTGAGGTCTGTCTACCTCTAATACATGGGCCTCTTCTACTCCCCTTGCTACCCCCCTAATAAAGTTTCCACTATGATGAGCAAGTTTGGCCATTTTAGATGATGAGCCCAGCTGGCAGCCTAAATAGCAATTAATAACAAGGCATGAAATAGTAACAGCCAGCAAAACATGATTGTTTTCTCTGTGCCAGACCAAGGGTTGAACAGAATGCGTATTGAGTCTTTATTATGAGCCAGGCTTTGGTCTAACTGCTTTTCATGTGTAAACCCTTTAAAATGTACAACTCTGCAAAGATATATTAGCCTAGATAATAAAAGCCTAATATGCAATTGTCCCCTAGACCAGGAGTTAGACCTGGAGTTTGACCAGGGGGCAGGCCAGCCAACTGCCCATGGCCCCTCCCGCCAGCCAGATCCCACCCATGCATGAATTCATGCACTGGGCCTCTTGTGTTTTACATACACTTTGCAGATGAAAATTGAGGCTTAGAGAAATGTGTGGTCATTGAATGAGTCTCTGGTCTTCACCACCACGCTATACCACATCCCTTGTTTTTGCAAGATTTATGACATTAAAAATGCAGAAAAATTTAAGAAAAATGTCAATAGAGAGCAGAAATAAACAGAACACAATCATAAAGTCCACAAGTAAGATGACAGAAAGCTAACAAAATTCTATATTAAATTGGAGAGGGAGGGAGAGAGCAACTGAAGGAGGGACAGAAGGAGGGAGCCAGAGAGATAGGGAGGGAGGGATATATAGTAAGAGGTATTTTTTAAAGTATAACATTTTTTAAACATATATGCAAATTATCATTACCGGTAAACAGAGCATGGTGTGTTAGATTATTATGCTCATTCTCTACCCATCCCTACAGGGCAGAGGTTTTCACGTTTGAATTTTGTATCTCTAAAGTCAGGAGAAACCTTCTGGATTTAAGTACAGAAGAAAAGAACTACTTTGTCCGGGCCCTAGATATGGCGAAGCGCACAACTCACCCCCAGTTTGTCATTGCCACGAGGAGGTCAGAAGAAATCTTGGGGCCAGATGGCAACACACCCCAATTCGAGAACATTTCCATTTACAACTACTTTGTGTGGACACACTATTATTCGGTCAAAAAGACTTTCCTTGGGGCAGGCCAGGAAAGCTTTGGCGAAGTGGACTTCTCCCATGAAGGGCCAGCTTTTCTCACGTGGCACCGGTACCACCTGCTGCAGCTGGAGAGAGACATGCAGGTACGCAGGGAACATTTCCATTTTCAGATCCTTTCCACCCAGGGCACCTTGTTTGCAAGTCGTTTGATCCACTGTGTTCCAGAGCATGGCATGACAAAGCAATCCCGGTTACTGATCTGCCTTAGGCATTCTAAGTTTCTCCCTATGCTAATTGCTTATTAATTGATCTTGACAACTTGTGAAGTGAAAAGAAAGTATTCTCAATGATAAGGAAGCCAAGTGAGACATTTGTAGGTGAAATGAAAGTACTGGACATGTTCCAGGGCTCTGTAAGTAAAACAATGACTCATATAGTTTGCAATGAAAGAATCTCATTTGATATGCCCTTCTCAAATCTAAGCCCCTTACTGGTTTGGGTGAAGCAAGTGTGCATGACAACTTGACAGTCTTCCAAGTCCCAAATACATAACTCTTCATACCAGTGGACAATACTAATGTGGGATAGGGTTTAAATGATGTAAAAAGTTCCTTTCCATTTATATTGTCATATTTTCATGGAGCACCATTGTTTTCGGTGCCCCTTACCACTTTGAGGCTTACAGAAAAAATCTATTAAAAACATCCCATCGGTTAGATATCAGTTTTACTTAAGAGGCATTGGCATAAAGTGAACTTCAACCCAGTCATTTCCTGCCTATTTTAAATATGTTTTTATTGATTTTCAATAGGGAGGAAAGGAGAAGGGAGAGAGATAGAAACATTAATGATGAGAATCATCAATTGGCTGCTTCCTGCATGCCCCCTACTGGGGATCAAGCCCACAACCCAGGCATGTGCCCTGACCAGGAATAGAACCCTTATCTCCTGGTTCATGGATCAATGCTCAGCCACTGAGCCGCAGCGACCAGGCTTCCTATCTATTTTTAAGCACATAAGCTCAAACCACATTAAATTATCTGTTAACAAAGATACTGTAATATTGTGTCTTCTACTAATTTCTCCTTCTTAAGAAAAGTATTGTAATTTTAAAATAAAATTTTAAATTACTAGATCTAGGAAATCAACAAATTAAACCAGTTTTCTGTGAAATAACTGTAATGAATCCCTCTCCCTAAGTTAAATCAAAAAATTAACCTAAAAATATCTGAAGGCAGAAAAGGTGTTTACTTATCGATTTGTAGTATCCTTGTGCCCAGCATTATTCCAAGAAAATAAATGGTTAAAAGAGAGAAAAATAATGCACGACGATACAGAATAAGATATTTGTACGAAAGTAGTCTATCCACATGCAGTTCGAGGGTGATTAAATGAATTCATCTGGTACTCTGCACTTCATATTTTACAGCTCTGAATACAAGACATTTAGTAGATTACGCGCAGATAAATCTGTCATTTGCAATCGACTCTAGAGCTTCATGCCTTCGAGTCATTTTCCCATGAGCACACCAAAATGAAAGGGCAGATGGAAAGTAGCTAAAAGCTTCAAATTTTGCCTGCGTAAACTTCAACCTCTAGGACTACTTACATTTTTAAAACCCAACAGCACAAGGGATCCCACAAATTACAGTCTATATGTAATGCGCCGTGGAAATGCCACATGAATATGCCCCAGCTCCCAAATGTCAGTTACTGAACCACAAATGACTCTTAATAATCCCTTGGAAGCTGTCACTAATATCTGTGAACCAGAACAATGGCTTCCAAATGAGGACTCTAAGTCCCTGGAGACCCATAGCTGGCGATGCCTGGGCAAGCTCCTGGCCCTCAATCACACCCTCAGGACCTGGGGATGCTTCCTAGAAAGGTTGGAAGTGAAAAGGCAGTCATGTACCAAATGCATGGAGGCGGAATCAAACCGTGGCGATTCCTGCATTTAAATCGGACACTCTCAATGTAACTCCCAGAAGACCAAAAGGAATGAGAAACAACAGGGACCATAACTATATCTTTTAAGGAACCTAGGAAAAATATCCATGTGATCTTGAGTCCAGCATTTTTAAAATTGTTGAAATCAGCCCTGAATGGAAACCAGGTCCCTGTTCTAAAGAGCAGCAGGCACAGAGAAATTCTCTGTTTCCCTTCAGCATGTCCTGATGGTATGAGCTTTAGGCAGGAGCCTGAGTCTTCAAGTTTAGACTCTGAAGCAGAGGTTTCTGAGTAAAACTTCTTTACAGCTCAGGCAGATAAGGTAAGTCTGATAAAACCTGTGTAGCCTATGGCCAAAGCAGGATCTAAATGCCTAAAGTCATTCAAGTTAAACTAAAAAAACAAACAACAACAACAACAAAAACACACAACAGAAACAAAACAAAAGGTACTGCTCCACAGAACACATTTCAAGGCTGGGTCTGACTCCAGACCAAGAGTTAGCAGTGCTTGAATTACAGAAAGGAAAATGGAGGGAGGTGCAAATGTCAAGGAGTAGAAGTTATCATTGATAACTTGTGGTATAATCAATAGAAATGTAATTATCTATCTAAAAAAGAACAGGAAGACCTTTCCCCTGCCCCCTAAAAAAAATCAATGGCAGGAACTTCGGTAGAATGAGTTGAGTTTAAATCACTCCTGAGCCTAACGTGACTCCTGTTGGTAAATGAGCAGCTTTGCTAATAAAGTAGTTGAGTCCTCCGGCCCCTCAGACACACTAACTGGCTTCTAAGTGGCTGAAATGAACTAACAGAAATAGACTGCCCGGGAGGAAACCCAGCAAAGAGAGGGAATTTTAAACAAAGCCAGAGAATGCTAACTGAGTCTCTGTGATCTAGGAAATGCTGCAGAACCCTTCCTTCGCCCTGCCTTACTGGAATTTTGCGACTGGGAAGAACGTCTGTGACATCTGCACCGATGACATGATGGGCTCCAGAAGCAACTTTGATCCCAACTTTATAAGCCCGAACTCTGTCTTTTCTCAATGGCGAGTGGTGTGTGAATCCTTGGAAGATTATGATACCCTAGGAACCCTCTGTAACAGTAAGTTTCAAGTGACGTCTAGGTTCAGAATTCCCTTTGGGGAGAGAGATTAAATGTGCTGCCTGAAGGCCATTCATTCTATTAAGGATGTCAGGCTAAAATCTATTATTGCAGAGAATCGATGTAGTAAAATCAATTCATGAAACAACTAAGATACTCAAGGCAATCTATAAGGTGCACCAAGAGGAACAGAGTGTCTGTACATTATTACATTTCTTTTCTTGAGCAATCTGGTAAGTGCACTGCTCACTTTCTTATTTCGAAAAGGTCTACTTGTATAACTTAATCCTCTTAGTACACTCAGCACTGCTTAGTGATCATGTGTCTTGTGTTGGAATTTCACAGAAAATGTTTCCCTAGGAAATCTGAAGTACACAGAAAGACTTGGAAGTGCCAAAGGAGTAAATAATAATAATAATAATAATAATAATAATAATAAATAATTACATTATGTTATTATGATGTTAATCTAGTCCAGTGATGGCAAATCTTTTGAGCTCGGCATGTCAGCATTTTGAAAAACCCTAACTTAACTCTGGTGCTGTGTCACATATAGAAATTTTTTGATATTTGCAACCATAATAAAACAAAGACTTCTCCTCAGGGTTCCCAGGCCAACTCTTTCCATTAAAACATAACTTTATGGGAATTAGAAGTAAACTTCTATTATGTAAAGCCATTGAGATCTTAGGGTTTAGCCTATATAATAAAAGGCTAACATGCAAATCAACCAAACCGCGGAACCACTGGTCACTATGACACACACTGACCACCAGGGGGCAGATGCTCAATGCAGGAGCTTCCCCCTGGTGGGCAGTGCGCTCCCACAGGGGGAGCACCACTCAGCCTGAAGCTGGGCTCACGGCTGTTGAGCACAGCAGTGGGGCCCCTCAGGGGATGTTGCCTGCTGGGAGGAGCGGGCCTACACTGGCAGGCAGACATTCCCCAAGGGGTTCCGGACTGCAAGACAGCACAGGCCTGGCTGAGGAACCCCCACCCCAGTGCACAAATGTCATGCACCAGGCCTCTAGTTTTGAACTAATGTTCTTCCATATAAAAGCTAGAATTATGGAAATTTATTCTATTATTATATTCATAACATTTACCCTGCATATATTCTTTAAAGCATCAATTATTTAAATTATTTTCTAAACTTAAAGAGAGACTATTCTAAATGGAACAAAGGAATCAGGTGGATTTTCATTATTAGAAGGTTATTTAGCTGTGTTTAGGAATAAGAGAAGTGATATGCATGAAATTTTCTTCCATAGAAACTTAAGAATTAGAATAAATGTTTATTTGTTTGGCATATTTAATAAATGGTA